CACTCTGGAACTGTAAGATCGACCACTCACCCCTTTTTGCTACAAAACTTCTACCTTTACAGTTGTGACCATTGCAATTAGTCATGATAACAATTACTCACTATTGAATCATGAGAGCCTTGTCCCCATCTCCTTTTACCAGACCTGTCTAGACAGGATGAAAACCACTCGGTGGGTAGTCTTCTTTCCCCCACACACTCTGAACCTAAACTCCCTCTTGAAAACTTGTAAGCCAGTCACTTCATGCTTTTATAGCCCCACCATTTTAGGTAGCCAGTGTCTAAGTTGCCCATTCCTATCAACCCTGTATATAGAGGGGATGGGAATGATCCTTGCTGTAAAGATTTTGTCCTTCTTGGTTGGTGTTTTAAGCTACTACATCCACAAGTATAGGTTAAGTTCATCAGATTGTAGTGATTTACAATTATTTTCTTTAAAAAAAAAAAAAAAAAAACCCCCCCCCCCCACCCCCCTCTTTTCCTTCCTCTAGTCGGGTTCTGAACATCCAGCCATCAAGGCTAGGTCCAATGGGCACTATCTGCAAGTTTGGGCACCCTTGTACATACCCCCTCACTTCATATCAGTGGGATGCTTCACTCTCAGTTCTAGCCTTCCATGGCCATGTCGTTGTCCGTGGGTTCAGAAGTCCCCAGGTCTCACCATACTTCAGGCCAACAAGCTTTCACCATACTCCAGGTTGATGGAGATCAATGTAACTTGTTTGGACTCAGCCCAACTCTTCATTGCTGCTTTCCCCCCACTTCCACTCACTAGTAGACCAACGTAGTTGCCAGCAAGCTTACATGCCTACATGACTCATTAGCTTTTTTATTTTTAAATATTTTATTGTGAATTATGTGATAGCTTACATGGGAGAACATTAGCTTTACATTCATCCTATCATATATCATTATATTGCCATGGCTACAATCCCCTCCATGCATCATCAACCAACCAAAGGGTACACCCCGCAAGCCTGTCCTTGGTTGTCAGCACACAGCCCCTCTCCCTCTCTGGGTCTAGAGTCCCCAGCCACTCCATCTCTCCACATACCCAGGGACATCCAGTCACTTCTTGCCTTTGTAGCCCCACACCATTTTGGGTAGCTAGTGTCCAAGTTGTACATCCCTGTCTACTCTGTGTGTGGAAGTGGTGGGAATGATCCTTGCTGTAAAGATTTGTTTCCTCTTTTGAGCTACTGCATCTATAGGTGTAGGTCAAGTTCATCAAATTGTATCAGATTACTTTTTTTTTTTTCACTGTACATTTTTCATATGCATATGAGGTTATTGAAAATATCATGGCTTGGGTCAGGTGCACCTTAGTCTTCAAACTGCTATCTTTGCTCTTCAACACTTTAAAAAGGTCTTGTGCAGCAGATTTGTCCAATGCAATACGTTGTTTGATTTCTTGACTGCTGCTTCTATGAATGTTGATGGTTGATCCAAACAAAATGAAGTCTTTGATAACTTCAATCTTCTCTCCATTTATATGGATGTTGCTTATTGGTCCAGTGGTGAGGGTTTTGTTGGTTTTTTTTTTCTCTTTACATTGAGATGAAACCCAGACCAAAGGCTGTGATCTTTGATATTCATCAGTGAGTTTTTCAAGTCTTCTTCACTTTTAGCAAGCAAGGTTGTATCATCTGCATATCACAGGTTGTTAATGAATCTTCCTACAATACTGATGCCACATTTTTCTCCATATAATCCATCTTCTCAGATTATTTGCTCAGCATACAGATTGAATAACTATGGTGAAAAAATACAACCCAGGAGCACACCTTTCCTAATTTTAAAACATTTGATGTTCCCTTGTTCTGTTCAAACAACTGTCTCTTGGTCTATGTACAGGTTACTCATAAGCACAATTAAGTGTTCAGGAATATTCATTCTCAGCGCTGTTCTCTATAGTTTGTCATGATCCACACATTCTAAAGTCTTTGTGTAATCAATAAAGCACAAGTAAACATCTTTCTGGAGTCCTGGTGTGGCACTGTGGGCTAATGTGTCAGACTGCAAAGTCATTTGAACTGCAAAGTCAGTGGTTCAAGCTCACCATCTGCTCCTTGGAAACCCTATACAGGGTTGCTATGGGTCAGAATCGACTCGATGGCACATAATAACAACAAACATCTTTCTGGTATTCTTTGCTTTTAGTCAAAATCCATCTGATGTCATCAATGATATCCTTCATACCATGTCTTCTTCTGAATCTGGCTTGAACCTCTGACAGTTCTCTGTCAATGTATGGTTGTAGCTGGTTTTTATTAGCTTTAGTAAAACTTTACTCACATAGGATAGCAATGATATTGTCCAATGATTTCTGCATTCTGTTGGGTCACCTCTCTTTGGAATGGGCACAAATATGGATCTCTTCCAGTCAGTTGGCCAGGTTGTCTTCCAAATTTCTTGGCATAGATGTGTGAGTGGCTCAGTGCTGCATCAGATTGTTGAAAGATTTCTATTTGTATTCCATCAATTCCTGGTGCCTAGTTCTTTGCCAATTCCTTCAATTTACCTTGAACTTCTTTCAGGATCATTGACTCTTAATCATATGCTCCCTCTTGAAATAGCTGAACATTGACCATTTCTTTTTGGTACAGTGACTCTGTGTATCCTCCATTTCCTTTTGATGCTTTCTGCATCATTCAGTATTTTGCTCATAGAATCCTTCATTATTTCAAATCAAGACTTGAATTTTGTCTTCAGTTCTTTCTGCTTGAGAAATGCTGAGCATGTTCTTCCTATTTATAATTGTAAGAAAAGGTATTTGTAATGAGTAAGTCATTGGTCCTGCAAAATTCTATCATGAGATCTCCAGCATAATTTCTATCACCAAGATCAGATTTTCCAACTACTGATCCTTTCTCTTTATTTCCACCTTTTGCATTCCAATAACCATGATTATCAGTGCATCCTTGATTGCATGATTGATTAATTTTGGACTTTAGAAGTTGATAGAACTCTTCAGTGTCATCATCACTGGCTTTAGTGGTTGGTGTGTAAATTTGAATAATAATGGTATTAACCAGTCTTTCTTGTAGGTGGATGGATATTCTCCCATCACCAACAACATTGTACTGCAAGAGAGATCTTAAAATACTCTTTTTGTTGATGATTGTGGCCCCCATTCATCTTCAGTTTACCATTCCTGGCATAGTAAACCATATAATTGTCACCTTTTTGAGTCCAGGGGAAGCTGCTGCTGACCACGTGCACTGCTGGAGAGGCCACCTGCGCTGCAGGAGCCTGACACTGGAGAAGCACCTCTTTCTCTGCAGGAGCCAAGCACCTGAGAAGCTATCTATACTGCAAAGCTTGCCAAGTGAGCGTACCAGAACCAGAAGGAAAGTTCCTTCCTTTGGCAGTGTCATTGTAGCATATGGTGGGCACACCCAACCATTTCACCTTGATTGCGAATGAGAACTGTAACTTGATTATAATCAATAAGACTCTGTCTTAGCAGACTGGGAGCAGAGAAGAAGCAAACAGACATGTTGTGAACTGCTTATGGAGAAGGCCACATGACAGGAAACTGTGGGTGACCTCTAGAACCTGAAGGCAGCATCCAGCCAACAGTCAGTCAAAAGCCAGGCTCCTTAAGCATTCCAAGGAACTAGGAAACATTCTTCCCCAACCAGGCCTCCAGATGAGAATGCTGCCCAGCTGTGAGACCCTGAGCAGAGGATTAAGCTTAACTCTGCCTGGATCCAAGAGATAAGAAATGTATGAGTTGTTTTAAGCCACTAAGTTTGTGGTCATTTGTTATGTAGCATAGAAAACAAATAGTGCCTTCTACTGACAGAGACAAAAAGGAAGACCCCCAGTGAGATGGATTGGCAAGGTGGCAGCATCAATGGGCTCAAACGTGGCGACGATTGATTGTGGGGTTGGCCCAGGACCAAGCAGTATTTCATTCTGTTGTACACAGGTCGCTATGAGTCAATACCAACTCAATGGCACCTAACAACAACAACAACTGACAGAGAGAAGGTCTCTGAGTAGTGCAAGTAGTTTGTGATTGGCTAGTAACCTAAAGGTTGGTGGTTCAAACTCACCAGTGGCACAAGGAAGACCTGGTGGTGATTGGCTTCCATAAAGATGACAGCTCAGAAAATCCTGCGGGGCAGTTCCCCTCTGTAACACATGGGGGCGCCGTGAATTGGAATCACCTTGATAGAACATCTTCTATTTTATTCACTTATGATGAAGCTAAGTATTTGGGATTTTGCTATGACAATACAATATTCTATTTGATTAAACCCATCTTCACTGACTTACCCTCCCCCAAGCCCCCACCCCCACCCACCCAAGTTCTATATGTTGCAGAGGAACACAGATGAGTAAGAGTCCCTGTCTCCAAGGAATTTCTATTTGGGGGTTAATAGGCTATTTCAAGTGACCTTTTTTTTTTTTTTTTTTTTTTTTAAGTGACTCTTAACAGTTCTTTTATTCTGTTTCATCCTTGCCATTGGAAGTAAAACAATCTCAAAAATGTCTTCCTTCTTAATTAAGAATACCTGAGCCCTGGTGTGGCACTATGGATTAATGTGCCAGACTGCAAAGCCATTTGAACTGCAAGGTCAGTGGTTCAAGCTCACCAGCTGCTACTTGGAAACCTTATACAGGGTCGCTATGGGTCAGAACTGACTGAACGGCACTTAACAACAACAACATTCCCATATGCTGTGCATTTTTTATTTGTTGTACCCTGTATTTCTCTTCACCACACCCCTAGATTTTATTCACATCTTTGTCTCATTCTGCCTGGAGAATAATAAACTACTGTTGTAATTGATCCCCTGAAGCCTTGGATTGTCACTGGCCCCTAAACATAAGTAATATTTTCTTGGAAATTTAGGAACTCAACTTCTTGATATTCAGAAGTCACTTTGGCTAATAGGGCTGCCCACTGGAGAACATTTGGGATGCTAACCAATGCAGCTCCTATTTTGACTTTCTTTTCTGGGCTTGCTATCGCTACTATTAACATGCCAGATTCACCAAAGAAGTGAGATGGAAGAAACTCTGGACATAGACCTCCGCAAGCAGGAAGCAGAGGATGGGACCATGGATGTCTCTCATATTTCTAAATACATTCTCAACACGATGACTTTGCTGTGTTCACCCATTCGAGATCAAGCAGTGCAGAACCTAGAGAACATTACAGACCCTGTTCAATTACTGAGGTGTGAAACATTGATGTACAGCCCTCTATTGCCCACCTCAGTCCCTGGGCAGGGAACGCTGGGTCAGACCCTGGATTCAGTCCCTGTCTCGACTGACTCTTTCCTGCTACAGACTTAGATGGCTTCATAGGTTATCCTTAGATTGACTGGGTCCTGTGTATCACATGCAACCATAAGACATCGAAGTATATATTCTTTCTTCCAAAGAGTTCAAGCATCCCGCTATTCTCGTTTCAGTGCACATACTAGGAGGGAGACAGGGCTGGGAATTATCATTATTTCATAGCTAGAGGAACCAGGATGCAGAAAGTCAAAGAGACTGAGCCAGTAAGTCTAAATAGCATTACCCATAACCCCACTCTCCAGAGAAAATTTCTAACATGCTGATGTATTTGCTTCCACTGACTACTTTTTTGAAGAGACAACAGAATGACCATAGGGGAAAGAGATCTAGAATGGAGGCTTCAAGGTTCAGAGACTCATCTATTCCTTAGTTCTGCTGTTAGGCCCCTTGGCCTTGGGCCCTGGTCCCCATAGTCTTTTTTTTTGGAAATTTCAGAGGTAGGGCTAAGTTAGTTTTAAGGTCCCTCCTAACTGAATTACTATGATTTAATGACTCCTTGCTTGGTTCCTTCCTTGCTAAGATCACATAGTATAATCAGTCTATTTCTCCAGTGACAGAGGGATCTTGCAGGTTCTGGGCTTGATGGAAATGGACATGGTGAACTATACCATCCAGAGTCTCCGACCTCACCTTGCAGGAATCCTCCATCCAGTATGAATGGACTAAATTTCAGGATCTCCTCAACAAGCAGCCCAGTACGCATATACATTGAGAGCAGGAGTGGGAAGACAGGACCTTGGGTCTGACTTTGAAATGTTAGAGAGTGCTTTGCCTGTTTCAGGTGAAGAAAGTTTCTTCCTCAGACAAGAAGAAAGTGTATCCCTCAGGCAAGGGCATGGAGAAAGAACATTCATCTAAGAGAGACCTGAAAAGCATTTCTTTTTTACTTCAACAGCAGGCAGGTTTATTGAGAGACCAAGAGCCCCTGAAAAGCATTTCTTTATTGACTATCTTGAACAGAACCTTAGTCCTGAAGTCTCCGAGACTGAAGATGCTTCCACATTTCCACCTGTCACAGGCCTCCTTGATCACACCATCAAATGGCTAACCCAAGCAGTAGCAGACCTCACTACAGCACTCCAGCTTCCCCTGACACTCCAGTGTGACCTGCCCAACTCCCAATGAGACAGCTAACAACCCAGCGCTCCTCAGCCCCTCCCTCCATGGTGCTGTCTCAGGAGCCTGAGCTCTCAGAGGTAGGGGTGGGATTGCCTTGTTTAGCATTCAGGGCTTTCATCAATCTTCTCCTGATAGCCCACTCTGTTTTGATTCCCCAGACCTTGCTAATGGACAGAACCTGACTGCAGGAGCTGGGATCCCAGTTGCTCTACTTAATCATCCTGGCCTCAGTCTTGTTAGTGGCCAGTAGTTTCTCTGGCAATGTTGTATTTGGTTCCCCTCAGTTTGTGAATAAACTGAAATGTGTCACCAAAGCCCTGACAGAGGAGTTTAACTCCAAGTGAGCTACAGAGATTCCCCACCCCCGCTTAAATAGACCGTTTTGTAGAATGGACATAGGCAGGTAATGAATAATCACTTACTTCCAGCACAGACCACAGAAAGACCCTTTGAAATCATCTATAAATATCGCTGGTATCTTTCCATAAGTGGTCTTGATACTTGTGACAGAGAGAAATAAAACTTCCTTTCACAAAGGGTACTGTGGAAGATTGTTTACTACAAAATGATGCATTAGCTTGCTTGCTACAATACACTGCATGTACGCAGGAGTTCTCGGTTGGTCAGCAATATTGATTGAACAGGTGCAGGGGATCTCATTGAGGAAAAAGAGGAATCAGGTGGCTATGTTTATGATTTTAGTTGGTGTGATTTTAATAGGACAAATGACCACAGAAAATGTCCAAGAAACTCTTTGAAAATACATACACATACAAATAATTCATGGAACTGAAGAAGGCTGGGCAAATCCAAGCAAAGACAGAACCCAAACCCTTCTTGTCCAAAGTTGATTTTACAGTGTGACAGAGAGGGATTAGTATTTTATGGGTAAGAGGGAAGTACTGCACCTCCCACTGGGCCCTGCTGTCTACCAGATGTGTGTGTATTGGGGGTGGGGAGGCAGAGGGAGGCGCGAATGGCTGGAATTCTCTGGAGGAGCCCTAGCTTTTTTTTTTTTTTTTTTTTAAAGTTTTT